TGCCCAATTGTGTATTAAAATGCCCCTCATTTAACATATGTATGGTCACAAGTTAAGTCGGCGATAATTTGTATTGACTTAACTTGAAACAAATTACTCCGAAATCCAAATACTCATCGAAAAGTAAGTTTATCTTTATATTAAGCTAATACAAAATAAATATATAAATAGGCCTGATGTATCAGTGTTTTCAAAGTTTATTGCACGTTTTATCCTTGAAACGCCTTTCTTTTTCTTATCATGATATGTATTTCCTTCACTTAGGATCAATGCGTCGATTAGCATTGCCTGTAACTGATTTATATTTTCAAAAGGCGGCATGAAATTGCCAAAATGTTTAAATAAGTCAATGTGTCAGCGTACATACAAAATAGTCTGTTTAATATTTGCTACATGTACTTGTTCCAAACAGTCTGCGAAAGAATGATTAAAAAATATATCAATTAAAAGTATCAGAGAAAATACTTGCAATCGTTAAAATACTGTATGTATTGCTATTGGTAATTAGGTTAGTTGTTTACACATAATTATGTTGTTCAGTGTGCCAAGAGCGTGTCAAGAGGTGTAAAGAGTTGAATTCATCGCGTGTCAAGAGGTGTAAATAATTGGCACGTCTAGAAACCCGGCGTGTAAAGACCAGTTTCTAGACGTGTCAAGAGTTGGAATCCCATATTTCACGCAGTGGAACAGACTGGCTAGGTTTCAATTGAATCATTTTGAATGTGTGTATTTTTAATATTTTAATCCACAGTGTCAAAAAACAATAATAATGCTATATTGGTAATTGGAAAGATTCCACTTACCACGATTTCAAAAAAATTGTAAATAGATAATATTATTCTTGAATTATGGTCATTTGTTTCAAGGAATCTGGAGGCTCGTTCAGCTGAGTTGACAAAATCACCCAGGGGGTTCACTGTATATAAACCTTGACGGGGATCCTCGGCGCACATGGGGTACCTTTTTGGACATTTGGTATGGCAATGGACCTAAATTTTAGGAGAATGCCCCCTCATTAAACTTTTGAGGGATGGAAATGGTCAGATTTTTCAACTTTCTGGTATGAGAATGGTCATGGAAAATATGTTATCTCACAATTATGGTATGGAATTGGTCTAGTAGTTACACATATCCCAATATGAGGTTGTTTTGGTTCGTTTTCCTCAAAGATCGCCTTCTTCTTGGGACCTTCTTCAGTTTAAATAAATAGCTTTTTTCCCATGAAATATTCTACTTTGGACCAGTCATGGCATTGGTATGGCATTGGTCCTATATTTTGACATTTGGTATGGCATTGGTTTCATATTTGGGCATTTGGGATGGCTTATGGGCACTATATCGGTTGGTATGGGAACACATTCAAATTTGACATTTTGGTATGGGAATATATTGATATCTGAGGGTTCAGCCTAGGACCCCTGCCAAATTTTGTACACAGTGAACCCCCCGGGCAAAATCATCAAGATTTACGGATGGTCCATCTGTTGGCTGCTCATTGTCACTTTCAAGGAATGTTGATGGCTCTGAAACTTGTAGCCTTGCCAAAGTCGGTATTTATTTACTTATCTGATCTTGAATTATTACAACCTTAAACAATCCAATGCATCATCGCTGATATCATGCTAAGTTATTCAGCGGTTCCGAGATTCCCATAATACCTAGGCTACCTAACGGTATCGCAAAACCATATTGATTGACAATATGGACATGGACACAACGTGTGACTTCAGGCTGATTGACCAATCAAAACGTTATCAGGTTGACCTGCATAAAAAAGCAAACTACCCGTCTAGGACTTAAAATTCAATGATCTGATCGAGTGTTTCTTGAGAGTTACAATATATTATGTTATTAAATGTACATTGGAATGTAAGCAGTCATTAATACTCGTCTAAATGAAATCATGCAATTCAATGTTGATTCAAAATCAACACTGAATTCTCGAAGAAATGCACGAAGACCTAGTCCGGCAATGTAGGCTCGTCGTTGATTTGTCAAATTTTACCGACAAAAACATTGGGTCGGTAAAGCACGTGGCTTTCTCTTGGGTAAAAGGTGGTCATAATAGAAATCAAGATAAGTAAAAGAGACCGACTTGGGCAAGGCTATGAAACTTGATTTGTGGGTATTCCAGTGGGTCGATGGGTCTTTTGCTCTGAATTCACTTCATTGGCGTACCTAATTTCAACATTTTCATTGTCATCATTACATGTTATGGACCCGTTTTTCAAATTAACAGTATTAGCGATAAAACCATAGTTTTTGGCTCACACAGTAAGCCTATGGGATCGACCAGGCGTCCTTCCATTGGTCCGTCTGTCCGTCCGTTGGTCCGTCCGTCTGTCAACATTTGCTGCACAAATTAAAACTGCTATTCGGATTGAGTCATTTCCACATTCATTTTATGCATATCCATAATGTCTATTTGACCTATCATCGCCATTTCCCAAGTTCGCCCGGTTTCCGAGAAATTGCTGAATTTTAAATTTCGAGAAAAATCGATCTGATAATAGCCTTATAGAAAGTCAAGAGAAGTGAAGAAAAGATTGAAAAAATACCAGTCCAGTCCATTTCCAGGTCCAAGTCCAGGTCCAGGTCCAAGTCAAGGTCCAGTTCAGGTCCAAGTCTTATCAGGTTTTATCTAGGTCAAAGGTCAAGAACTAGGTCAAATCCAGTACTTTGTCATTTTTTTCAATTTTCTCAGTCGTCCTTCAATATTTTTGCTCCGTTTTTTAACCATGTTCCTTGGAAAAAAGCTTATCCCTACAGGCAAGTTGTTTTTGATCACTCTTACCGTTTTTGAGATATGGCATCCGAAAAGTAGGTCACAATAAAAACTTCTTGGAATTCAATGTATGAGTTATGAAATATGTGTAGCATTGTCCAAAGAATCCGAATCTGCAAACCAGATTTTGATCCGACTTCCGGTTCGGAAGTTATGGCGTTTTGAAATCTCAAAAATCGCTATTTTGGTATCCCATGTTAAGTCAATGGGGCTTGAGAAAATTATCAATTGTAACAACACAACACTAGATACAGCTTGGATGCAGCCAACTTAATAAGAATCTACAATAGAAGCCGTCCTCAAAATCTACTTTCCTTCAAAATTTGGACACTAAAAGGCCTAGGTCAAAATTTAGGTCAAATTCATAGTTTTTCCTTCGACTACAACAAATCATATCTGAACCAACAACAAAGGACTCATCTTTCATTGATCTCATATTTACCAAAACTTTTGTTTGAAAATCAGGATATACATTCCTCTGAAGGTTCTACACTGTGTGAGCAGGACCGTGGGTCCTTTATTTCATCTGTAATGGCATTTTCCAGTTGATGGGTTTATATATAGTATTTTCAATTTTTCATGAGGGTGTCTTTAGACTACTTGTAATGGGGTGGCTAATTACTTTAATGAATAAGGAATGTTTATCCGAACAATGTATACAAAGAAAATCTGGCCAGTTGTCCATCAGTAAATAAATCATCGTGATAAAAGTATAATTTATTAAAGCATCCATTTGTTACCGTTCTGAATCCAAATGATACATAGGTGCATCCATTTTATACAGATATGTTGACGTTTACGAAATGTTTTTCAAATATCTTCTCTATAACGGGAATATGGTAGCTGAAACTTTCACATATTGTCATACTATGTATATTGAATATGTATGCAAGATTTCAAGTCACAATGTTAAGTAGAAACTCTGAGATCACTTACCTCGATTTGCTGTCATATTTTTGCAATGATCCCATTCCCTATAATGTACGCGAGTACCCACGATACATTACATATAAATGACTGCATCCACATAGATCGACTAGCCACAGTGTTCAAGGCGGATATCAATTTATCAACGAGGTAAAAACCTTAAAGTCCCCGTCTAAAGTTTGAAAATATTTTTTTATCATTCATTTACTATTTGTCAGGACTTAAAAAGTGATTTTAGAGATTTTTGAACAAAAAAAATTGTTGAACAAAAAGTTGTGAGCATTTCATTTCTCAAATATTAAAATTTCCCGCCATTTTTCAAAAAAAGTTGAAATTTCTTAATCATCAAATATTTCTTAATGTATTTCAAAAAAGATTATCTTTTTAACACCAATGCAAAGATTGAACAAAAGAAACACTATTTCAATAATAAAATTTCATATTTAATGGGCCACTTCAATGTTTTAGCTTATCAAAAATATTTTGAAACATTAGTGATGTCACTAAGGTAACAAAAACTTTTTGAAAAAAATTGAATTTTTTTTTTCGATGTCAATCTTTTCTAAATATGCTAGACTTTCATGAAAAACCAATGTTGATTGTCTAACCAGGTTAAAAGGAAGAATAAATTATGTTTTAGATATCATTGTACCATTGGTTTCTATGAGAACTAAAATTTTGAAATTCATTTTTCTCAGAACCATTTTCATGCACTGATAAGTTCATTTCTCGCTTGTTTATCAACCGATTTTCTTAATTTTTTCGGCAAAAAACATGGGAGGATGTATGCTATGCATTGGTATGAATTGTGGCTAATTAGAAGATATGAGTGACCTCTAAAAGTTGGTTTTAAATAAAATCACAAATTTTGGAACAAAAAGTCTATCAAAAACCACTTTTTGAAATTAAAAAAAAAAAGTTTCACATATCACACTTTGATAACATTGGGTAAGACTACACTATAAGCCAAAGTGGTTTAAACTTTACATGGGGCCTTTAACAATGCTAGTAAGGGCACTCCACATCCCAGCTGGGTCTTTTCCGTTCACGCATCTCTATTACTTTGGTTTAATCTTACCATTTCCATTCACGCATCTCTATTACTTTAGTTTAATCTTACCATTTCCATTCACGCATCTCTATTACTTTAGTTTAATCTTACCCTTTCAATTCACCCATCTCTATTACTTTAGTTTAATCTTACCATTTCAATTCACGCATCTCTATTACTTTAGTTTAATCTTACCATTTCCATTCACGCATCTCTATTACTTTAGTTTAATCTTACCATCTGACTTCTTACAGAGACCATAGGCCAAAGTGGAGCAGTCAGTATCATACCATCTACCATCATCTGGTCGCACAAGGACGCACCCTCCCGAATTCTTCACGGGCTGACCATCTCCCCAGTTTGTATAGATCACTGGCCATTTGTTTGTCCATTCGTAGTGACCTGGGTCCTATAAGACAATATCCCTACGTTATGCGTATTTAACATTGCAAAGAAATTTGTAGAGAAGACTTCAAAACAATTGTAATTATCTCTGTTAAATTATAAATAGGTATGATTAACTAGCTATACAAGAACTGTCAAATTTTATGTATACTGTCACTAGAATGATTTTATTCCACCAGATATAATTACTCTTCGTCCATATAATAAAGTCATGATAGTTGAACTTGATAGTGTGCGACAGTGTCATTTTCAGGTTTTAATCTTTTGGATTCCGGGCTAGATAATGGCGATTATTAGATTTCTCAATGTATATACTAGCTCCATACAGTTCTATCAGTAAGTCCAGTCCACATCGGCATTGCATTGTAGATCATGTCGTTCTGTTTCATCAATGCTCTTATGAATCCTTGTTCGTGCTGAGATGTTATGCTGACTAAGTCATAGCCTTCCTGTCGTCGGCACTCAGTTTGAGCATCTTGCCATGTGGACGGGATGGAAACGAGGTTGTAACATCCAGGTCCGTATGCGGTGTTGCCGGAGCCACAGGGATTAGGTAGTTGAGGTGGTTGGGGGTACTTTACATCTGGTAATTCAAACGTATATTCTTAGAAATCGTGTACATATTAGCTTTTATTAAGGTTGAATACTGAAGCAAAACAAACGCAGACATGATCTGTTTTGTTATTGAATGGCGGACAAGAGATTTTCGATCCGATTACTCCTCGATCATAAGAGCTGGTTGATCCAAAAATTACTTGATTACACTTTAAAAGCTTCCTCAATCAAAATGCCCGCGGCCGGTCAAAACGAATGTAATCAAAATGGCTAATTACGACGCAGGTAATAAATACCTTTTAAAGTCTGGCATATGAAGAACTCTGAATCAGTGCACCATTCGTCATTCCACTCGCCAGCTCTAAACGCATTGTTGTATATCTGAACGCAGAGATTCGGCTACAAGCATAATTAATAGCATGAATGATGGCTTATTTTGAAATAACAATAGCGGGTATTGCTAGGAGATGACCAATTTATCAATTGCCGGATGAAATTGCCGTGTCTGTTCATGTTATATAACCGCCAGATGCCTGAGTAGCTATCATCCTATCACCGAATGCTATAATGTGGATTTCGATCAAAGTATAAGTTTCAAGATCATCTAACATGGCTCTCAGTAAGGTGTTTCCATATCTTTTTGTAGGGAGTGTATAATCTAAAATTCAAATTAGGACCTACATCAGCTCCTCCGTTCGGCTCTCCACGATTCCAATTTGTATAAGTGACGTCACTGTTATCTATCCAATAGAATTTCCCTTTCTGTCTATCGCTGGGTCTCTCAAGTTGGCGCATGCCTATCCAGTACTTATATGGCTTGTTGATCAGCTGACTTGTTATGTAACCTACAAAGATTTACGCATTGACCATGAAATATAGAGAAGTAAAAAAAAAGTAGTATAACTTGTGCTGATATAAGCATATGATATGAGTGAAATGAAATTGTGTGTTTCACATTTCATTTTCATCCAAAATGAACAATTTTCTCTGTCAAATTCCTCGTTTATATTGTCGATTGGATACTCATATGACTTTAAACCAATTAACAATGTGATTCCAGACCAATAATTAGGTCTAAATTAAAAATTCAGGAAACTGATTTGACCTAGATTTTGTCCTTTGACCTTGACCTAATAAAAACTAGTTCTCTCTAATAATTGTAAAGTCCCTTACAAAGCAAAGGAGACATCTTTCAGAGGGCTTTCTAAAAACGTGATATATTTGGTTAATACATTATCAACTATGCTTTTAGCGATACCGTCTTAATGTACCTTGTTCAACATCATCGGCGATAGATGCGAGATTGACCTCCTTCGAGCTGGCCGCACCCAGCCCATAACAATAAGCCTGAGCGTCGTTCCACTTTTTCTTCATAGGAACGAAATTGTAGCACTTGTTGCCAAAGGGCACGAATGTTGGCGGGCAATTCCCTGGTAATTCTATGGGGCGTGGAGTGGCAGGGGGAGGGCGTCCTCTGGGGTTCTTCTTACAAATGAATCCCCGGATAAAGGAGCACACCTGTCGATTAAATAACACATCATCAGCACAATATGTATATTACTTACAACGCAGTCTTGACAGCTTCAATGAAACTTTTGTGCTGTGGTGCGATATTCACGAGACTAGATGTATTAGACGACGACACTACATACATGAAGTACAATATAGCCCCACCTGATCATTCCATTGACCTTTAAGTATACGACCTCTGGCATAGCGCAACTCAGAACACAATTCGTGACCCTTCCAGTCATTTGGTTCACCCTTGGCCCAATTTTCGTAGTCCAAAGGAGAACCGTCAGACCACCTGAAGAAAAGACAATGAAATACACACAAGTCGTTTCATGATCGCGTAATGAATTCATTGAACATATTTACAGTAGCTCTTGCGACAGGAGTTCTTCCCATGGTTGTGCCTTGGAATTCAAAATGAGTTTTAACAGATATACGTATACTTTACTCAGATCGCCAAGTTACATTGCAAATTGAATGATCGAGAGCCCGGCTGGTATAAAAGGCCGTACTCACTTGTAACCGCCTGAAAGATCGAGTTCGTTGAGACCTATCCACCAATCCCACCAGTCAGTGTCTTGAGGCCACTAAAATGAAGTTGAGAAGTATATATCATTGTGGAGAGTCTCATCCTTTGTCTGGCAGGCCATATATGGAGCTAGTTTTTGGTATTCACCCTCAAACTACGCATGTCTTCACTATTCTCTAGATCTTAATAATGTCTATAGCTAACTCAGGTTTGGTCAGATAACGAGATGATGTCACAAACATTAAAGTGAACAATTATTTTTAAACCAATGCAATGAATCCGAAATAAATGCGAGAAAATGACATGTCTACAATTTACTTTTAAATGGTTGCAATCATAAAACTAAACATTGTAACATTTTATTTTTGTTTCCTCTAGAACGTACATAGCCTAAATAGGCTCAAAGGAATGTAGAATTACAGATATGTAGATATGAATTATATAGTAAAGTTACAAAGCATACCACACTGAGAATAAAGTCTGTTTCTTCTTTACTGTGTATAGAAGCCAAGTCACCTCCGTTTGCCATACACCAATTCCTCGCCCCGCGCCACGTCAACCCCCATGGCCCAGTTCCTCCAGAATGGTCTTGGGTGTTGAAAAAGTAGCATTTGCCTGTGGCAGAGTAGTACTTCCAGTCCGTATCCGGGGAGCATTCGTCATCACACAGCACTAGACGTATTTAAAAAGCATGGAAAATAACTATAGACTTCCCTCTAGCCTTTTCCAAGTCGGTATTTTTTACTTATCTGATCTTTTATGATAATAAAATCGAAAAAAATAAAAACAAAGACACTGACTTGGGCAAGGCTAACTTCCCTCCAAAAGTTTGGAAACCGGAGTGCCATTTTTTGACCATGTGTTTTCAACAAATTCAAACTTCCTGAATGCTGCAAAAACGACACCCCCTACAGCCCTATAAAAGACTTTGTTCTTGTTTATTATGCCCGGCTGATGATTATAAAAAATTATGCATGCGATGAAATAAGCCTGTGTGTTATCTTACCTATTGTTGGAATCAAAGTCAATAAAATGAAGAATATCGGTCCCATTCTGAGGAAAGCGGCAAAATTCCTCGAGAAGAGTGATCATAAAAAGTCGTTAATTTATTGAGAAAAAATGCCAATCGTGTTATCTTGAGCGAGGCCGAAGATGATCAGTTTAGAATCACTTATGCTATACGATATATCTCTATAGAGTACTTTAGAACATTTAAGACAAGGCAACTGTGGTCGTATCTATACGTGCTTGTCATACTTGACATTATAAGAATATCTGTGTGAGATTTCTGTTTTTATCATATACGTGAACACTAAATATTCACCTACTCCACAGGGGTTCAGGCAAAATATAGGACATTCCAATGGCAGTCTCCGAAGAAGCAAGAAATCGGCAATTCAAGGGAGCAGCAAATTATTTTCCATGTCAACTCCACGGAGTAGCAAATCCCACCGAACAAAACACATTCTGATTATTAGTGGCCATCTGGAAAACGCCTTCTTGAGCAGAGCTTGTTTGTCCCTAGGTATCAACATATAAAATGTAAACCATATCTGTAAATTAGCATTTGAGCTATCTAAGATTACATTCCTTTTTAAGAAAAGAAATGGCAGCAATTTTGAAATTCAGCCGCCATTTTGAAAATCTTTAGGGAACAGAGCTACTGTGTCCCTATACTAGGCATTAGCATATAAAATTTGAACAAAATTTGAGTTATACACCGTCAGCTACCGTCTTGAAAATTCTTTGTCAAACAGAGGTACTGTGTCTCTAGGCAGCATCATATAAAAGATCCAAATCCGTTCACTGGTATTTGAGTTATCAAAGTTAACTTTTTTTACAAAAATGGCCACCATTTTGATATTTAGCAGCCATTCTAAAAATCTCTTCTTCAGTGTAGCTCCTTTGTCCCTAGGCATCAGCATATAAAATTTGAACCAAATCTGTCAACTAGAATAGTACTAAGTTATCAAGGATTACGTTTTTTTATGAAAAATGGTGGCCATTTGAAAATTCAGCCGCCATTTGAAAATTCTTTCTTGAACAAATCTACTTTTTCCCTTGGCATCATTATATAAGATTTGACCCAAATCCGTTCACTGGTATTTGAGTTATCAATGATTACATTTTTCTATGAAAAATGGTAGCCATTTTGAATTTCAGCCGCCATCTTGAAAATTCTTTCTTAAACAAATCTACGTTTTCCTAGGCATCATTATACAAAATTTGAACCAAATCCGTTCGCTGGGATTTGAGTTTTTAACCAAAAATGGCCACCATTTTGATATTTAGCAGCCATTTTGAAAATCTCTTCCAGAGCATAGCTTCTTTGTCATCAGCATATAAAAGTCGAAGCAAAGTCAACTAGTTAATCTGAAAACATAAGATCAAATCCTATGCAAAGGGCTGATGTGAAAAAGTCACTCCACCGAGGTGGTGAGTTATCAAAGATGATATTTTTTACGAAATATCGCGGCCATTTTGAATTAAGCGGCCAAATTGACAATTCCTTCTCGAGCAGAGGTTCTATCCCCATAAGGCATAAGCCTATAACAATTGAATCAAATCCGCCATCCGGTATTTGAGGTTTTGCTCGGACAGACTGGTGGACGGCTTTCCTGTATCCTCCTCGAACTTCGTTCGGTGGGATAATTACTGCAAATTCCAACACCGGGTGGCCATTTCGGTATTTCTAGGGCTTGAATCTTACAGACGATATTATTATTATTTTTTTTTATAATTTTTTTTATTTCAAAGAATAAGCATGTTAAAGCAATTGCAAAAAACACCAACATAACATCTTTCGAGAATAATAAAGTTGTACTTTGAGATTTCAAAATTAACGAAATTGCTGTTGTCTCGACCCCCCGATACTTCCGAGGGTCAACCCAAAAAACACAGATGAAATATATGTTTCCTGACTAAAATTTCAAGCAGTTGGGTTGTTATCACAAACCAGAAAGGTGTCCATTAAACATTAACTTTCCCGTACTAATATCTCAAAATCTGCTTGAAACTGTACCATACATGAAACCTATTTAAAACAACATTTATATTATCCAAATGGATAATCCTTGTAAATGAGAAATAATTTTTGGGATTATCTGGTGCAATCTTAGAGTCAATAGAATGTTTTAAAAGGTCTTGATATCCAAAAAACATATGCAAAATGCATGAAAAACTCCTCCTTTAATAACATGCAAAAAATATGAAATGGGTGGAATTATGTAACGTTGAGTTTGGAAATGAGAAAATGTATTATGCCATGTAAAATGTTGTATTTGATGATCAGAATGTTTTATGTTGGCAGGATATTCAATAAAATCCACATCAACTTTCTCTGCACTGTCTCAGTCTGCTCCAGTAGCAGATTTTTTAGATATTTTACTTATCTTTAAAACTCTTTTTGATATATAAATTGAAAAATAAAATACTTCAGTAGTTTATAAAATTAATTTATTTCGTTTTCATTTCTGATTTCAAATAGAAATGACTTTTACTGCAAATAAACAAATATCGTGAGACTTATCTAAGTTCTTGCCATAATTTTCCTTCAAATGACAAAAAGGCATGGTCCATTACAAGCAGTTTTTAGGTTAAGTTACATTTCAATTTTTCTCCATAAATATTCAATGCATTCAACAGAGCGTGGAACTAATTCAACTTTGAATTCTTTGGATCCATGATTTGTTTTCAAATGAGTGATCATCCTAAAATTAATGCACTGAACCATGTAACTGCATTGTACTAGTATTTGAGACATATAACCTCTTTGATATCGTAAGTAGGCGAAAAAAATGGCATAATTTGCCGCCAAGCTATACTGAAAACCTTGCAGAGTTTAGTAAGTTAAATTCCAACTTTGAATTTATCAGTCACATAGTCCCTGGATTAAGTGTCATTTCTCTTTACAGCTTTGACTGTAGTCGACAACTTGACACAGTGCATTTGAAGCACAATACACTATTTGCAATTGTCAGAGAATCCGTTTCATCTTTTGTCTGATTTTCCAAAATTGTTCACTATAATGCATCATGGATCAATGCATGAAAATACATAATTGCTCTTTTCTAATAATCATTTTAGTTAAGAGCTCACACTTATAGTCCAACACATCAAAGTATGAAGTCTTAAACTAATTATATTCACAGAACCCTGTACTCCAGCTCTTAACTAAACTGCAGGTATGAAGAGTTCAACAGTGGGGAATTATCATGACTGACAATTATTCCATAAGCAATTTTATTCCAAATCTTGCAGATTTATTGTTGTTCCAGTGAATTGCACTTTGGCAGCATCTACATCCTGGTCTCGTATGTTGCTTGGCAACACTGTGAGAGCGAGGCTATCTGTGTCTGTTGAAGGCAGAAGAGTAACAGCTACCTCCCCAGCTGTTGCATATGCTGCATCTGCGTCACGAGAGTACACCTCTGGGTTAGGTGGATCATCCTTGAAAAAATAAGTTAACACAATTAACACAAATGTTACTATATAGTTGCATTAATGTACAAAATGGTTACTTTAACAACAATATGCCACAACTGTCACATCTTGGAAGACAAAAACTGAAAGACTTTCTTGGACTTTATTCCTTATAACTCAGTTTTTTTAAAGAAAAATTGACTATCAATTTGGGATAGCAAGCAATTATGGCTTACCTGTAAGAGTTGCGTCTGTACATAGGTGGCGCCAGTCTCTGGGTCGCGGAAAGTTATTGCACGTGATGTGAGGACCTCATTTGCATTAAGACTTGGGGCATTAGTCCTTGAGAGTACGTCATCAACATTTGGGCTGTCAGCTGAATCTGGAATATTAATTATCAATCAAATTAACAAAATCGAAAAAGGATCTTTTTGTCTGATTAAATAAACTTTTCATTGATCAAAGTGTTTTCCTTTCATGTAATGTTGCACTATGAATTTGGAATTAGTACTATCCGAGTTTCTGAAACATGCTTCATTTCGATTTATACGGTATACTAGTAATATTATTATAGTAGTCTTAAGCATCTTTTTGCTACACTGTAAATTCAATCATTTAGTAATGTAAACTGACCTTGATAATTTTCCATCTGTAAGAGTCTTTCTTTGATTAATTGCCTCCTCTTCTTAGCACGGTCACTAAGTTTAGTGTTACTATGGTAATCAGTCCTTGCAGAGCCCCTGGGTGCCACCTCTTGAACCTGCTGGGGTGGGGCTTGGGTGGTGAGGGGGATAACCTGGAGGCTAGGGGTGAGGGGTACATGTTGAGTTTGGACAGCTTGTGCCTGATTGGACGCCAGCGAAATGACATTGCTGGCACAATCAGTACCGGCCAATGTGATGACTGCAGTATTAGGCTTGATGAGTTGCGTGACGACGTTAGTGCCGACATGTTCAGATGTTGCCATGGTTGGCTGGTCAGTGGTCATGTGATCACTGGTGATTGTGCTGGAGAGCTGGGCACACGTGATGAGATCAATGGAATTGATGACCCTCCCCTCCTGGTTGATGACCGTTCCTTCAGGGAATACTGTAGGTCCTACAGTGGGAAGAGTGGTGACAGCTACAAATACATGAAACTCATTTATTTATAGTGAATTTATGGATTTCAATATACAGTAAAACCTGTGTAGTATATACACCACTGAGACCATCCGAAAGTGTTTGGATTAGCAGGTTTCACATTTCAACGTTTTCTCAATATGTGTCAATGGGAGATTGGATCATGAAAAAGTTTTAACCGTTCATTACTTATTTGTTAACTTACCCGATATAACTTCGGCATTGCTCTGTGACATTGTAACATCAGCCTCTGTCGCTGCGGAAACTATTTTCTCTATCTCTGTTAACTCATCTATTTGGGGAATATTCAAACTTTCAAAGTCCCCATTTGCTGGAAGGGAAAAGGAGTTTTTTGGTTTGTATATTGAAGTCAATACAATAGAATATACGAAGGCAATTTAACTTACATGATCGAGATGTCAATTTAGTATGCGAGTGTGTGAAATAAATAAAGCAAAATATAACAACACAAATGAGGTCAATTATGATATAAAATAGCCAATGATGATTAAAGTAGGAAATTGAGCCATTTTTTGCATTTGTTAAAATGAAAAAGGCAATATTTAATATCTTTTGAAAATCAAATATTTTGAAACACAAAAAAAATCATTTTTTTGAAATGTGTGCCTGTGGTTGGATCTGTGAGGAACGTCCCATGAAGATTTCAGTAGCTACTTATCCTTCAAAATCTAATCAATTCATCAAAATACTGATTAATATACCTGCTGATGTGCTGTAATGGCGTAATAGATGAGCCCTAAGGCTGCTTTTAGTTTGATATCTCTTGGTACATCCCTCCAGTGGACAGTAGAATATGATTGGCAGGTTCTCTGCTCTCACATTATGTTTTTTTACATGGACGTATAGACTGCTCTTAGCTGTGAATCTATGGTTACATCCTAAAACAAAGCAAAAAGTGAACTGCAGAAAATACAAATGATGGCATATCTATTGCACAATGGAATAGCCTAAATATTAGTGGCTCAGGGCATGAATTGGATCTTTAAATACTTTAAAAATCTGAGCAATTTACAATAAATACTATCTGCTGATTTCAAAACAAACATTGATGTTTTCTGTAAATGTTACAGTTTGGAAAAATCCCCTTGTATAAGTGAATCGATCACCACTTAGAGACTGAAAAACATTTTCTTCAAGTTTTCAATTTGGAACTTGTCATGTAACCTAAGATAAGCAATATGTTATGGAAAAGGAGGCATATATAATAGATATTAATGTGACATCAAAAGACAGTGTGTTATTTTAACAAGTCTCTACCTTCAATAGGACACATATAAGGCCTCTCTCCACTGTGTGTAACCATGTGACCTTTCAAATGTTCACTACGAATAAACGCTTTCCCACATCCTTCCTCAGGGCATATCCAATTGCGCTCTTTGGTATGCGATTTGGCATGTCTCTTAAGCTTGCTTGTAGTTGTGAAGGCCCAATCACAGCCCTGGAAAAAAGACATGGAAATTGAAATTCACAGGAACAACTATGAAAACTTTAGTTTTAAACTGATGTAACAATTATTGTAACGTTGCAAGTAAAATACTTCTTGGAAAAATGGGAACTCAATATTGAGGAGATTTCTTCATAAGCAAAAAGAGAAGTATAATTGTCCATAACTGTAATTATTCTTTTAACTCACTAAATATGAATGAATCAAATTCTCTCATGCAGAGCCTCTCAATGTTTTAATTAACATAATTTGAGATAGTATCTTACCGGTTCTTCACAGACATAAGGCTTCTCCCCTGTGTGCATTCTTTGGTGCTGTTTCAGTCTACATAGTTTATCAAACACCTTGCCACATCCCTCGAATTTACATTTCAGGTCCCTGTTCAAGTTATGCACACGTGCATGGGAGCCCATGACAAACTTGGATATAAATGTTTTGTTGCAACCTTCAACTGGACATCTGAAACATGTACAATTAAGTCATTTAGAATTCAAAATAATATTTTCAAGTCCTTGTTCAATGAATGTGCAAATGCGTGCAAGGCCATATACAAACGTTGATACAGCTTTCGACTGGGGATCTGAAACATGCACAATTATATCGTTTCGATTTCAAAATAATATTTTAAATTTTGGTTGATGAGAAATGACTGCATTTTGGTAGATGAATGATATAAATGAGTATTATTGCTTATTTTTAAATGATGATGTTAGAGTGGGAAGGGCAACATATTCTCCTACTAAAATCTAGCCTTAAACAATGAATCTTCTTTCCACGTGAAAACTAAAATACACTGCATACATATGGACTAGTAACAAGAAGTATTAACTCCTTGCTATGTCTCTTTAAATTGTGGATATTTTGAGATCAACATTTTCGGACAAAATCTTCAAATGGTACATTTGAAAGTGCATATAAAAATAATCTGACAAGTTTAGGATGGTCTAATACATCAGTGTGTACATACTTGTATCCAGTAATTAAACTTATAATGGTGTGTACATACTTGTATGTTTTCTCTTGTTGATGGTCCTTATCATAATGTAAGTGTAGGCTACGCTTAGTGGAGAATCTTTGGCCGCATCCTTCAAACGTGCACACTTCACACTGTGGCCTCTCATGGAGCTTCTTATGGGCGTTCAGGTTGTAGACTGTCGTGAACTTCCGCATGCAGTTGTCTATGTTGCACTGTAGCAAAATTTATGTTGAAAAGTAAGTTATAATTCTAAAGATTTTTATTGATTGAGAACTTCAGTAAATCATCCATGATTAGTAATGCCAATATATTACACTTTGATGTAGAAAAATGTTCATCTCAGCTCAGGAAAAAGGAATTGATTTGAAGTATATTTCATGCTTTTAAACAAAATCACAATTTTATAAGAAAGCATATTTTAGACTACTGAATCCTAATTGTGAGTGATTTAAACAATAAAAAGTTCTAAACAGCAAGCCCAATGTCCTGTTCAAGAACCCCTATTACTATTGAAAATGGATTCTATCAATACTCCCCACATGAATCTACTCAAAGTAACAAGAAGACCCATGTTTTTTTTACTCACAATCCATTGTTTTGCCCCAGTGTGAGTCTCAATGTGTCTCTTCAGCTTGTAACCTGTAGTGAAAGCCCAGTCACATAGATGGCACTGAAACATAGGCCCAAACATATGGAATGTAATATAGTAGATGCAAGTTGTATTTTTGATCAAGTAATAAGATGAGAGTACTAATGCCTATAATCCAAAAGTTGAATTAAAATATAACATTCAAGATAGTTTGATGTAATGATGAAATCCTCAAAAGGTATACACTTACAATGCATTGTGTCGTCATGGTCAAAAATAAAATTACTGACATAGTTTTGACCAATCACAACTTAGAATCAAGAATGAGGTTCTAATAAAACTAGCTGTTTTCGTGACAAGACATTCAGAGCTTATTTTAATTGAATAGCAAATTTATATGCAAACCATAGATCAACTAAATATAAAACTTTATCTTCACCGCATTTCAAAAGTAACTTACTTTAAAAGGTCTAGAGCCAGTATGCCACATTTCATGGATTTTTAGCGTTGACTGTTTATTATAGCGTCTTCCACAACCCTTCCATGGACAAGGGAGTCCTTTCCCAGGGGTCATCACTTCACCTTCTGAATCTGACTCACTATGGGATTGGGACTGCTGGGATACAAAAGTCTTGGGTGGAGTGTAGGTTTTACCATGGCCCAATAAATGCACCTATAAAATTTAAATATTAAAACAATCAATATTTTTGGAATGCATTGAAACCAGAAATAGATATTAAATTATTTTTGTTTGTAAAATAACTACTTTTCTCATTAATTTGCTAAATAACAAATATGAATACAAATGAAAAAATATTGAAATTATCGTTTCATAATACAGTTGGGACAAATAAATAATAAATGTTATCATGTGAACCTCATACACTGATTTCTAGAATTTTTGACAAGAGATGAAATAAATGGGAACAACAGGAAAAGTTAAGAGCAATTACAATTACAACAAAGAAAACACTTGAAAATCGGAAAAATCCCCTGTTTACCACCACTAGTGAACCCCCTGCTCATATAATTATCTTGGTTTACCTTAAGTTTATTAATAGTTTTGAAGACTCCTTCACAGCCAGGCATGTTACATGGCCATAGCACTCCACTGTCTTCTTCTTCATCCTCTGCATCTTCTTGTTGGTGAAAATACACCTGAAATACAAACATTTTTATGCATAAGTTTATATTGTCATAGTGATGCAAGGTTCTCTCCAGAAACTTTTTACTTCATCATTTTTTGCAAAATCATCAATAATTACTTCCCCAATGACACCCTTTCTCTCTTAACAAAAATATTTTTTCGTGGCATCAACACTACCAAAATAAATCATAGATTGGTCTGTGTTGGCTATATTTATTTAAATACAATTATCTTTTTCACTGCAAAATTAAAAGATCAAAATTGATGTAATGAATTCTGAATATAATATCAGTGGATTGTGTGATCATGCAATTCCTGGTAAATAAAGTGCTCATACTTTCAACATTAACCCTTTCTCAACATTTAAAACAAATAAGATCCTACCTCTTTTCCTTGAGTCTCTTGACATTCTGACTCTGGACTCACTGGTTTCTCTGTGGCTGATTTATTGGCATTGTTGTAGACAGGCACAAGTATATTGCCTTGAGTGTTAGTACTGCTGTCGCTGCCCTGTTGCACCGGGATGAGAATATAACCTATGACAAAAATGTAGGAGTTATCAACTAAACAAAATATTGACTATTCCTAGCACTTTAGGTTGTTACACTCTTTCAAAATAAAACTTACAAACAAGTATTGTTGAAATGTCATTTTGACATTGAATCGGACATAATGTGTAAATAAAAATATACAAACTATTACATATTTCAAGATTTATTGGTAAATATTCATAAAAATAATCTTAAATTTTCATGATTTTGGATCTTCCTTAAATGTTACCCAGGAGGATACTGCCAGATTGAAAAATAGAATGATTTAGTCAAATTCTTTTGAAGACAGTAAGGAATCAATTATCTAGGGCAAAGGGGTGTAACATCGACGTGTGGGGTTAAGTCGACATAAGAGATGGGGTAACTTCGACACTTACTTATTAGAAGTAGAATTTCCGTTTTCCACCATCGATGTTTGATTTCTAAAAAAATTGAAATCTCGCGAAACCTCGATCCATGTGATAAAAAAAACATGGCTTCCCCCTAGATCGGAAATTAGAGCAAATTAACAACAAGGTGTCAAAGTTACCCCAAAATGGTGTCGACGTTACACTCCTTCGCCCTACCATTCATAGACAGTTCACATACCGTCACTTTCATTGGTTTCATTGTTCTGCACTGTGATGGGCTGAAAGGCTGAAGCTGCTTGTTGGAGGTCTGATGTGTTAATTTCAAACATCTGGCCTCCTTGGCTTGTGTTCAGTACTATCTGAGTGGCATTTGTTGTTTTATTTGTCTGAATGGAAAGAGTTGCGACAGTTTGTCTTGAATCACCAGTTTCAGATGTTGGTACATTGGAATTGACAAAGTTTGATAATGTTGGCACCAAGGTTTCCAAGTCAATGCCAGAGGCTAGTTCAGATTCGGGGGGATCTTTGGGTCCAACAGATGCCTCAAACTCTAAACCTCGTTCAGGCATGTGTTCAAGTTCTTGGGGGGTCATTAGCATGTTATTTCTATCAGGTAACGCATTAAACTCTAATTGCAGCTCTTTGCGGCTATCTTCAAGCATTTCTTCATCTTCGGGATCAAGTTGGGAACCCCGCTCGAGTTCACGGAGTAATGCTTGATCCTGTGAACTTAATCGTCCAAGGTCTGCTCTACCTCCTGCAACAGGACTTGTTGGGGCGCTGAAGCTCCCTGAATGAAATGGGCCGGAAACTTGTATACTATCTGTGACATTTGCTAGTCCATCAGCACAGAGAGATTCATGACTTAGACTTTCAGTTCCAAATATTTCCCCAATCATTTCCTTGGATTTCTGATTGAGGTCACTGGAATCATTGTGACCTTCAAAATGAAGATTTTCCAGACTCCGACATCGAGTTTTCAACCATTCGGATCCAGTTTCGTTGTCAGAACTATCCACTCCCAAACTCTCAACATCGGAGACAACATCACTCTTGAATTCCAACTGAGCAGAATTTGACTCGGAGAGTGCGGAAATGTTCGACTGACCAATGATTGATTTTGCAATTTTTCCGGATTGGTCGCCATCTTGGAGCACGAGCACCTGTCCTTCCTCACTATCGTCACCCAATAAACGGCGTTTCGCTTCTTCCAGACTGATATTTGTGTTAGATTCATGAGAAAACTTGAAAACCCGTGTCTCTTCATGGGGGCCGCCATATTTATTTTGATTTAGTGACCCTTTCCTTGGCATTTTTAGCCCCCAAAGCTTCAACAGTTCGGGGACTATCCTTTCACTTCAGAGACATTACTGCGTATAGATGTCACTAATTTAAAATTACACCGTACGAAAAAGCTACTATGTAAACATTACCGGGAACAATGTTTGCTGTAATTTAATTTTATCCCAGATTCTGAGATACGTGCAAATCTAAGAAAACAAAAATTTCCTGTAGCCAGGGGGGGGGGGAGCGATGGGTGCGATCGCAGAAGAAGAAAAGAGCTTTAAATGCTTTTTATTTGAAGCTTCAAGCTCAATTTTGTGAAATTCAAAACTTATAAATCTTATTTGTCGTTGGCTTGTTTATGCCACAATCGAACCCCCTGACTGTAAACTGAATTTTTTGGACGATCGCAGCCCCCTGACTGAAAGCTGGCTACGCCCCTGACCCTATAGCAGGAATGCAGAGACATATTATATGTCTGTCTCTGATTACTAGGCTTACTAGGTCTGCAGTATATTGGTTGAATTGCGACCCCGGGAATTCCAATCCCGGCCAACACTGACCATACGCCTCCTTGTGGCATAGCGTGGGTTTGTAGAAATAATCGGGTACCGGGTAGTAAATCCTCCATGCTGGGTTCAAACTTGGTACCCACTACCCAGTACCCGGTCGAAAAAACCGGGTAGCCAAAAAACGAAAAATACGAACATATAACATAATTAGATCATTAGAAAACGTGTAAGATTTGTTTTGAATTAACAAAAAATTGAGCTAGAAGCTTCGCACCATCGCACCCCTCCTGGCTACGCCTTTGATATCGTTAGACGTAACAATTTACACTTCAGTGGACGTTTCGTTATGATAATCAAATCTTACACGTTGCTTCATGTAAATTAACACACGTCGCCTCTCTGCTAAAGTAACTATAGCTATTTACAGACGTCTTTATACAATGTCATAGGTGTAGCTAGGACTGAGGGGGTTCGATGGTGCGATCGCACCCCTCCCCCATAACCAATGAAAATATGACCATGATGATAGAGGAAGAAAAGAGCCTTTCTAGCTCAATTTTAAAGGAAGTTACATACATTTTTGTAAATTCAAAACAAATCTTACATGTTTTTTAATGATCTAATTATGTTAAATATTCGTATTTTTCGTTTTTTTGGTACCCGTTTTTTCGACCGGGTACCGGGTACCAAGTTTGAACTCAGCATGGAGGGTTTACTACCCGGTACCCGTTTTTCTACAAACCCGGCATAGCGTGGGTATTTTGTGAGTAGGCTATAGTCATGCTGCGAATGAGAGAATCGAATGAGCTTGGGGTGGGGGGGGGGGGCGGTTCCCAAACGCCGTAAACCGACCGACCCCCTCCCCAAGGAAGCACTTGACCTATTTATAGTATTTTGTATGAGCATAGGCCAAGGGAATCTCTATTGAGCTCGTGCTTTTCTTTTTTGAGCAATTTGAAGAAACATTAGAATAGGGAGAGGTTGTGTTACAAGGGTCCCCAGTATAAACAGGAACTTACCATGTTCAAGATGGCGTTCGAATTTATAGACACTTTCAAGTGGTGTTATTTGCTGCCACCTCCTTTGTAGCAAATTATAAGCTACTTATAAAGTGCAAAGACATCATCAAATAATATAGCTCCTTGATGTAGTCAATGTTTCTGAGAGACTAACAATTGCTCCCCCTCTGGCATCCTCACGCCATCTCCCCATCTGGCACCCCCCTTTGAAAACCCCACCCCAAAAATTGTGATTTTTTCAATTTTTTTGACACATACATTTTGAAATAGCATATTTAAATTGTAAACATTTCGAGGGAAGCAGGCCACCCCTCACACCCCCCACAAAACAATTGACAAAATTCTGAATTTATTTCATGTACTGTCTCGGACACTTGATATGGTCTATGTTTACTGGGGGACAAACACTTGCTCCCCTCTGGCACCCCAACCCCATCTCCCCATCTCGCACCTCCCCCCCCTTTACAACCCCCCAAAAATTGAAAAAAGTGATTTTCAAAATTTTTATTGATTTATACACTTTAAAAGTGCCCAGAAAGTACCAAATATCATCTTAAAATTGTAAAATTTTCTAGGAACTAGGAGAGTAGGCCACCCCTCAGAGTCTCAGACCCCCCACATGTATTGTCTCAAACACTTTTAAAGTGCCCAGGAATCATCAAATAGCACTTTGACATGGTCAATGTCTCTGGGGGACAAGCTCTTGCTCCTCTGGCACCCCACCTAACCTCCTTCTCTCATCCTCTTTGACACAACCCCTCCCCCTAAAAAATTGAAAATTTTATTGACTCATACAATTTGAAAAAGCCCAGAAAGCACCAAATAGCATCTCAAAAGTGTAATTTTTAAGGAGAGTGCAGGGTCACTCTTCACACCCCCCACAAAACAATCGAAAAGTTAGGAAGTTGCATTTGTTAATCTAAACAATTTAAAAGTGCCCAGAAATCACCAAGTGATATGATGAAATCATAGAATTCTGGCACCCAACCCAAAAGGTAAAGCATTCATTTACTCAAACACATTAAAAGTGCTCAGAATTAACCAGACACCATCTTGAATTAGTAGAATATTCCTAAGCTGCTCCTCGCTCCCGGTATAAGAAAATGATTGAAAAAATTCTCGATTTCTTTAGATTGATTCTATTGACGGCGTTTTCACTATTATGATATAAATCTTTTTGGCATTGACCAAATTCACGTTCAATCTCTATTGTCAAAATGAGGGAATTCAGCAGGTGTTCCCGATTGCATCAGGATCACGAATGATTTCATTATCTACTATCAGTTCATGGGTCTCTTTTAAGTCCCTTAAATGTCGAACATATTTAAAGAAATCGCCAGTTTCAAGTTTTTTATTTTTTATTTTTCAAGTATTTATAGAGAATATATATAATTCATTTATACTACCCCATTTTGACTACTGTGACACAATATATATATGATAGCTTCAACTGCAAAACTCTTAACATTATTGGATAGACTTCATTATCAAGCAGCTTGCCTTGTGTCAGGTGCAATTCTTGGTTCAAACACTTCAAAAGTTTTATCTTTACTCAACTGGAAAACGTTAGCTTCCAGGAGAGAAGAACATCTCAAAATCTTTGCTTTCAAGGCTAGATACAATAGTTTTCCCCCTTTCATTTGTGATTTAGTAAGCGCATATGAGAATATTCAAAATAGGCCCCTAAGGCAACCTAGACATAATAGAATTCCCTCTCCTATTAGTAATTCATTCAAAAAATCAACTATTCTCAGGGCTCTGACCCTGTGGGATGAGATACCATTCGCTGACTGGAAAGGCCAACCAATCTCCAGATTTAAAAGGTTTGTAAGAGGAAACGGGAGCCCCTACTCTCGTGTTTCTACTACAAAAATGAATATGGCAATGCCAAGGAAAATTGAAATTTTGTTTAACAGATTTAGAGCTGGTCTAATTCTAAAAGCACATCTATATGCCCATAACTTTGCGGCAGTAAATGACCCACTTTGTATGGTGCCAAACAGCAAACAACACATCACTTCCTTTTAAACTGCCCTGCTGCAACAAGAAAGATGCACTCTCCTAGCAGGATTAAATACCGTAGGATTTCTCAACAGTTTCCAAAACTTAAACTCCAATGAAAAAATTCAATTTTTATTATTTGGAGACAGAAATCTAACAGTAATAGAGAATGAACAAATTATTCAAATAGTTAGCCATTGCATCTGTTTAGCTTTTGATATTTTAGATTGAACACCCCCCCCCCCTAAAAGGCCTCTAACATTTCTCACCATCTACATTATGGACCTGATCTATTGTATTTCTATTATTTCCAATTTGACATGTTTTGTATTTTGCCGACAATGTTGAGAAACGTAATGTGAGTAATAAAACAACATGAAATCATAACAATCATAAAGTTGATTGTATGTTTGGAATATTTCCAGCGACAAAGTCTAAATCTTTCTCTTTGCCACAGATTAATATAAACAACATTATTATTGAAGACAAGGAACAAGTACCTCGCATGTAAACAAACTACTTTTCCTTATGATATGAACAACTATGCCAGAATGCGACATGTGTATGCCAAAATACGAGACACTTATGCCAAATCGTAAAAGTCGTCCAAGTTCTCCTTTCCTTACAAATGTGCTTACATACCGTATTGGAAAAGCACAAAACCAGTGATAACAGCATTGGTTTCATTTAATGCACCATAAAGCCACGTGTCTCCTCTTTACAATGATATATCATTCATTGATATCTGGTCATGGTTGGGTGAGTAATCATTCCATTTGCAAAAAAAGCCAAATTACTCCTCTTTGCAATGGAATATCATTCATTCACAGGGAGTCATCTGTGGCCGAATAATCATTAATTTTGCAAAGTGGGGCAAAATTCAGCTCGGACCCAAGCTCAAAACATTGCAAAAGTCAGTACAAGGGCCATAGGGGCTATCGGAAGAAGGTGTGACAGGTATGGCATAGACAGTAAAGTGTTCATACTCATACTCATACTCTTGCAAGTATACATCCTATACCCCTTCAAATTGCCACCACTTCCTTGCACATAAAGATGCGCTCATCTGTCCACGTCATGCATGATTCAGCCCTGAATCATGTGTGGGTTAAAGCAAAGTAAAGCAGCCGATGGGCAAATCTTTCTCGATCTGGTGGAGGAATTGTGAGCACAGATGCTCCTGAGATAGCTCCAAAAGAAAAAGTCACAGCAATTCAAGTCAGGGGAACTTCCATTGGCACTTAGCCCTTGCACTGATTTTTTCAATATCTAAAACTTGGCACAGAGCCGATTTTGACCCACTGTGCAAATGGAAGGATTTCTCACCCAACCATTACCACATGTGAATGAATGACATATCATTGCGAAGAGGAGAGTCATGGCTTTATGGTACATTAAATGAAATTGATGTAGTTATCACTAGTTTTGTGCTTTTACGAGATAACTACTTGTTGCGTTTTTTGATACGCACTAATGAGAAATGAAAAAAAATTAATTAATGACTTTTACTATGCAATATAGTATTTTATTTTTTTTCACATCAATAT